CGCTGCACACATCTGAATATTTGGGTTGAACTGTTCTGGAACAGATTTCCACTGATTTCTAGTCGTGTCCTCTTTTGGAAGGCCAAACAAAGTATTTTCGCTTTCGCAATGAAACACACAGCGTCTTCACAACATGGCGGCGGCGGTGGCAGCAACAATAAAGTTACACCTTCTTTCTTTGCATGAACATTTGGGCGGCGTTATGCAAATCTTGACGTAGACATGTGGGGACGTGTTTAAACGAGGCGCTTTAGGAGGGTGTGGACCAGTCTTAACTTTTATAAAGAATATCTCTTTGGGTTTGAGACTTTAGTCTTTGCAACTTTAGGGATCTTATCTATTCACGAACAGCTTGTAACACTCCATAGACAAAGGAAAACTAGAAATTGCATCATATGACCCCTTTAACGGCATTCATCATCTATAAACCGCTGACTGTCTTTCCTTCTGTATCACTCACATAAATAAAACTGCTGTGACTAGTAAACACCAAATTCCATGTTGATGTTATTGGTGACGTCTATATTACAGTGTTAATCATACACTCAGATAAACGTCAGAGTTGAACCATGACATCCTATGAACATCAGCCGCCTCTGATAAGTGCGAGGAACTTAAAGATCTCTTTCAAGGTCTGTGCAAAGTTACTTTGATGGAGAGGAGCCTTGCTCGTGATGGATTTCTTGGCCGCAGGCTGTTAGTGCTGACAGATGGTAAACAGGAATTCCACACCCAGAATCCTCAGTGTAATGTATGAGGCTCTCCACAGGAGGAAGCGCTGTTGTTCAGGAACATCTTCCCTGAAATGTTTCACACGATGAGTCACAATTTCATCCTCTTCCCTGTCTGCTTTAAGTTCAAGCTCACTTCTAAAACGTTCATATGCTAGAAACCCACTCCAGTTTATTCCACAGAGGAGAAACAAATCTCAGTTGTGGCAGACACACAAGCTGAGTGGGATGTTCAGACTAGTAAAGCTAATGAGAAGGCTACATTACTGATCAGAAAGAAAAGACTGAACAAATGGAAGGCATGGATGTTTACTCATGTCATTAACAGACATTTAAAAGCCAGCATCATCTGGATGTAAATCACTCCACTCCAGTGAGGACCAGCCTCTTAGTTGATTTACTATTGTGGTTAAGCGATGTTTGGTCTCGCGTTTCACATTCATGAAAGAGAAATCAAGAAGGTGTTAGTATTAAATTAATAGAGCTTCCACACTTCTGTTACGGATATCCTCCACTGGATTTGACATTGATCTGTTTGGGAATCCTCCACAGGCCTGTGCTGAAACCAGACCACAGAATCACTTAATAAGAAGAGCCCGAGAAGCGTTTCTTTAACAAGACATCAAGGGTTTCTCGCTCTTCTTTAACAAAAAATGAAGGGGGGTTGCATTTTCTGGAATGAAGAAGGCATCGTTACTTTTGGTTGCCTCTTGTCTTGGTTTCTTCTTATTGACACACCTGCTCATCTGAGTTCTTCCAAAAACAGAAAAAAATGTATCATGGCTTCCACAAAAAATATTAAACAGCACAATTGTTTTCAACATTGATAAAAACAAATCAGAATATTAGAATAATTTCTAAAGGATCGTGTGACACTGAAGACACTGCTGAAATTTCATCTTTGCCATCACAGGAATAAATAAAACATATATATAAAAACATAAAACAGATAGGCTATTTTAAATTGTAATAATGATTCACAACTGTTTTACTATATGTTTGATCAAATAAATGTAGCTTTGGTGAACATAAGAAACTTATGAAAACCTGACCACAAACTTTTGAACCTTAGTGTATATCACTTACCAGCCATATTAGAGGTTAATTTAAATGTAATTAATTTAATTTATTCATTTTTATTCAATTGTAAGCTTTTAGTATTTTATTTTTATTTTATTTATCATTTTAATGTTTATCATTTTCATCCATAACATGAACATAATTACAAGCTTATCGGTATTGCCCACAATTTTAATATCAGTGCATCCCTATTTTTTCCCCACTTAAAATCACCATGATTTTAAGTTTCTTAGACTAAAGACTGTGGTAACACAAAAAAAGAAAGTCTAACAATTCAGACATGGGAAAAGATCAAACTCAGTAATCTTTTCTTTCATACAACACTGATCCTTCCTAAGGAGGTTCAATCTGGACCACTTGAACAAAACCATTCAGAAAAGATACCTCAGAAAATGAAATCCAGCACCGGTGAATGAGCAACAGACAAAATGAGCAGGATACTTTTCATTTTCGATAAGGGCTTCTATTCAAAGGGCGAGGAGAGAATGGGAACATTTGATATAGAAAGCGCTTCGTGAGCAGAACCATGCAATCATTCCTGAATTTGACAGCCGTGTGTTGACGGCATTTCTAAACGATTACAAAAGACACAAAAGGAGTGCTCAGGTCACGTGTCAAACATTCCTTAACAATCACGCACATGCACCCACTATCTACCCATCTCACCTGTCAAAGCTTAATGCAACCGTTACAGTTGCACTGAGAAAAGCTTTTAGGTAACCTTAATAAATAGAGTTAGGGTTGCACAGTGTATCTGTACCATATTAGGGTTTTTTAATGTATCGGCTGGTATTATAATTTTGATTACTTTTCCCTCACTTAAAGGGATAGTTCACCTAAAAATGATAGTTTCTGGTCCCCACTGACTTCCATAGTATTTTATCCATATTATGGAAGTCAATGGGAACCAGCAACTGTTTGGCTATCCATATTCTTCAAAATATCTTTGAAAGAAACTCAGATTTGGAACAACTTGAGGGTGAGTAAATGAGTCAATAATCAGTAATTTCATTTTTGAGTGAACTATCACTTTAAAGCTAATCTTTAAAAACACTAATAATTTAATAACACTGAAAAAATTTATTTAAATATGTCTTACAATAAGTTAATATTGTTGTGATGCCTAGTATTTAAATGTAATTTTAAATGCAATTTATTTGCTATTATTTTTGGTTGCACAAAACAATATAGAATTTTAATATCATCTGTAACATCAAATTATATCAGAATTTTCATGGTGCATCCCTAAAATATAGCAATGTCAAAAATGTTTTGCTTAAACAGTAATCATCTGATGGCCATTGGCTAAACCTGAATCTTCACTCGAGGCTGAAACAGATACTGGGATAAAGAGTGGCATTAAGGCACTCGCTAATCTGTGACGGTCTTATTTCTTGCGACCTCCAACCCCAAGGCTTGCTGTAGAAAGCCTTTTAAGATCGCATTACTTCATATTAGTACATCCACATTTTGACAGCGATTTTCTACATTTTGAGAGAGGCTTTTAGGTTCTTGAATGAACTTAAATGAATCGTGCGATACTGAACACATTTTGCAGCACATTTAAAATGATCTATGACAATGTGGACTTGAGAACCAAAGGGCCTAATCTAATATTCAGATGCACCGACTAGAGTGTTTCATCTAAGATGCCCAAAGTGCGGTGTTGCAGTGCTAAAACTGATTTGAAGTGGCAATTCAATCAGCTCACAAGTATAAAACCTCCAGAGTAATTTCTCCGTAGTTCACATTTGGTACAAATGATAGTGCTTGAGCATCAGAATTGGCTGACAATCTCGGAGTTAAAAACATCTCAATCCCCACTGCCTTCTAGTGGCTGGGTCAAAACTATCTCCACTATTGGAAGAATCCAGAGTGATCATGCAAAGAACCACACAAATGAATCAGGGTTAAAAACATGACATTGGAGGCAGTGAATGCTTGTTTTAGCCTCTAAAGAAGAGACACAACACCATAGGAAGGTCTTTGTTGAAAGTCCATATTTCAGGTCTCTGTACACAATCATGATTGCGCAAAATGCAAGGACAGATCAATATGCAAGTGTTGCGCTTGTGAGACGAAACCACAAGAGAAGTTAGTGTTACAGCAGAAGTGTTAACAAAAAGGACTGTCCATCAAATAGATTTTCAGTTTAAGCAGACACAGTAGTATGACAGTAATCTAATGCTCTGAAATTTGTAATTCTTAATAACTTAATAAATTCAAAATGAAGCTAAATATACCAATGAAATAAATAAATACATAAATATAAAAAATTAATAAAATATAAATATATGAAAAAATAAATAAATTAAAATAAATCTTAAAATAAAATAAATATAGTTTAATTAATTTTACCAGAAATGTTAACTTTTCAAAAGTCTAGGAGACTAGTAAACTTCAGGGGTCAGCCAAAACCCCAAGGAACCATCAAGAATATGTATTCACACACACACATTTCTGTGCCATACATCACATTTAACAGTCTGTACATCTGTCTCTCTCTCAAATCAGACAAGAAAATCAGTCAGCGGTCATTCTCATTGGACTAATGCTTGGCCAAAGCACAACCTCATTTCAGTGAAAGGTATTTCTATTGTCCAAAATAATCTTTTGAATCTCAAGGGGCTGTCTGACCATAAATTATGAACTTGGCTGAAGTGACTGCCAGGCCATGGGGCTACAGACAGGCTCTGTTCGCAAAAACCTAAACAGAATCACTTGTCAATCATCAAATTTAGTTCTGCCATGAATAATTCTAATTTTGACACAATTAATAACAAATTATTCCTGTTTATATAATCAGGACGAATAGTAGTGCTTAAAATAAAACGATTATAAAGGTCGTCTCTAACTCTATATTTCTATCTTTATCTTATTTGACATGCACACATCAGGGTTTGACAGACAAAGCAGATTGATGTCTCACTGACAGCTCGGCTGTCGTTCTATACTGTTCAATTCAAACGTTGGCACGTGCAAAGTCCGCATCATTTTTCCCCAGGCAAAACATACGAGGCGTAAGACCGGTTTTTTAAACACTCAAAAACTTAAGGTGGACTAAAACAAGTAAAAGGGTTGTTTTGGTTCTCGCCGAAGGAAAGTAGATTGAGATGCGGTTATAACGGACGGTAATGCAAATACATTGTAACGCTGCAACACTTTTGGATTATGTGTAAAGAAACGCACCTGGTTTGGTAGATCCGTCACGACAGACGATGAGTGGGTTACACAAGAACTCTTTGTAGTCGAGGACCAACGCACAGTCGTGCCATTCGCTTAAGCCGTTCCATTCAACGCTTTAAAATGCGACACTCTGAACGTCTCGACGCTGCGCTCACCACAACTGTATCACATCGAAGCGCGTCACCTTCACTAGGTTGCCAGATGCCAGTTATTTCGCCTCAACTTTATATAGAGGTTTTTCTTAGTGCACTGTCTCAAACAAGTACGACCTGATTTTGGTGGATTGTAAAGTTGCGCAATCGCATTAGACGATTATTTTAAATATATATATTTTTAAATATAAGTAACTTATCTGAAATCTCCTCTGACCGAATCATAAACAACCGTCTGCCGTGTGAAGCTTTTATCTCACTCAGGCAACACGATTACTCATTCACTGTCTGAAGAAAAATTTTAATAGCAACACTCCGATTGGTCCAGAGGCTATTTGACGTCTTTGTTTCGACGTATGCTATTGGTTAAAACGCGCAGTTGGCTTTAACCCCGCCCTCTTTGGTTGTGTTTTGCAAGAGAGCACCGTGGTCTTACAGGGTTCTTAAAGGGAAAGCGCATCCTACTGTTGGCTGAGAAATTGTGCTGAGAAACTATGACTGCGGCTGACTACTTCATTTTACTTTTTTTCTGGAACAAATATCGCTGATATGAACAAAGTAAAATATTTAACAACTGAAATTATTTGTAGTTATATTAATAAGGGCATAATAAAAAAAAAAACGTTTTATTTTAGAATCAAATTTATGAAATGTTCAGTATTTTCACATTTTTCGAATACTTGTTTGAACTGAATGTTAGAACCTTGACTCATGGATGCATTTTATCTGATTAATTAAAGTTTATTATTAACTATGCTCTCCCTGAGCGCATGACATCAACTGTGATTTACTATTTCTGAGCTAGTTTCAAGGAAGTCCGGCTTCAAGTGACATTTTGTTCCAATGTTTCGTTCAGACATCCCGAGTTGGAACGCATGCACCATTACTGGCAAAATAATCCTCATGCAGAATAAGTTGAATTTGACAGCCATTACTGCACTAATGGCGCTTTTCCACTGCGTGGTACGACTCGGCTCGGTACGGCTCAGTACGGTACGGCACGGCTCGGTTCGGCTCGGTTTGCATTTCGACTGCAGTTTAGTATCGCTTTAGAGTGGGCGGGATTATTCACATGTCATTATAGTTGCGCCGCCTCTACTGCCGCGACTCCTAAAAAACTTTTTCATTCCGCGTCTCTCAGCCCATGTTTCATGTTTCTTGCTTCTTGCTAATGCTGTGGTCAAACGCACTGGAGATGTGGAGCTGATCTGACATTCTTCAAATAACAGATTTATTCAGCACACTTTTGTGCAACTAGTCTTGAATACAGAATTTTTGAGAGCATGTAGAAAAATAAATAGCTACAACAGAGTTATATTATATTATATTATATTATATTATATTATATTATATTAATAGTATGGACAGCACTTCAGAATGGAGTCTTTTTCACTTTTCCCTTAAAACGAAAACATCATTGTGGTCAGATCTCTTTGAACAGGGGCTCTTTAAATGGAGATTTAATTATGAGTTAATTATGATTTTTCCATATGTTTATTTCAGTAGGAAGTTCTTCATAGTTCGGGGGTTGTGAAAAATAATTCTCACCATACATTTTAGTGACAATCAAACAAAAGTCACATTCCCTCTGGAGGGCCGTTTTTCCTGGTCTGTAGCTCCGGCTATTCAAATATCATCTGTGAAAGTTGACAAAAATATGACCGACTATGTAATGACTAACAAGCAGGTGGGTCGGACATGGCATCTTTAACAATATGTCCCAGGAGAGTGGAATGCATGGTGCTGAGAAAGCACACCAATGTGTGGGAACAGATGGGTCCTGAGAGAATGGCAGGAAATCACAGCCTGTGTGGTGCAACATGGTGTGTCGCCGTATGGGCCTGTTCAAATCTGCAGTGGGACAGGCACCCCTGAGTGTGCACTCTTCCTATATGGCCTCTGTGCAATTTGCTTCATGTGGCTGCTTGCATAAACACTCACTGCATCCTAAACATACAGCAATGACTGAATGAATCTGCGCATTAAAGAAAACCACAGAACCACTGAATATTGTCTTGACTTGTACAAGTTATGGGATGAGTTTAAAATGATTAATTATTAAATTAACTAAATGTTTTTTATGTTCATTTTTTATTATTTTCGGTGGTTATCAACAGTATGCAACAGAAGCAGTGATTCTTGATTGTTGGTAACCAAAGAGTTTCTTTTCCCATTGACGTGCATTATATTTTTTGACCATTCACTGGAAGTCAATGAGAACTGTACCAATAACATTCTTCAGAATATCTCTTTATATGTTCCACAGAAGAAAGAAAGTGATATAGGTATGGAGCAACATGAAGATGAGAGGAATAACTTATTAATTTAAATACTTTAAAGTATTAAACCTGTATGACTTTCTTTCTTCAGTTTTGTTTTGGACCCTAACTATCAATGTATGGGTAAAACATTCTTTAAAATATCTTGTTTTGTTTTCCACAGAACAAAACAAGTCTTACAGATTTGGCTGAGAGTAAGTAAATGATGACAGAATTAAAATTTTTGGGTGAACTCCCAGAGTTTCCATTCAAGAGTAACATACCCATAATGAATGCAAAATGATAAAATGGAATGTTCCCTACCATTTGCATAACCCAAAAATAAATAACTTCAAAAACGGGACATTTTAAACCTTCACAGCAGAAATAACATTTTCATAACTTAATAGGAACGTTAGCAAAACGTTCTTAGAATATATTTTTGTTAGCTGGGCCATCCTTTAAAGCTGCATTTCCAGAACCTCAAAATAATCCTTAAAAAGTTTATATTTAAATTTTCCAACTTGACCATAAAATCTAAATTACTGTGTTAACTGTTGTCAGAGAAACAAAAACACTGATTGCAGCTTAAGAAGATGAGTCATACACGCACAGCTCTTCTGTCAGGTCTGATCTTACCAGCAGTGCTTGGAATCCACAGTCCCATAGAGATCCTCAGTCATACCAGTGAACACGTTAAAAACACAAGCACACAGCTTCATTCTTAATTAAAACCATTCAGCTGCCTATTGAGGTCTCCAAAGAAGGTTTGATGCAGTAATGAAGCTGGCTGGCTCTCATTTACCAAGAAGCACTGAGAGAAAAGGATCATGTGTCTGCAGAGAGTTAGCTTCAGGTTAGCGTCAATACTTTATTGGAAACACATGTTTCAAGAAACCACAAAATTTGAAGCATTTGGAATTATTTGGAAGGACACTGTGTATAAAGTTAGAATACAAAAGACTTTGATTATTTGTGATGTGCAACGTAATATCTGCGACAAAAGATGGATGTCTGGATGAATGTGCATGCGTGAGCTCTCTGTCCTCGTCCTCCTCTCCAGCAATCAAATTCTTAATCAGTCACACAGTGTCTGGCTTGATTAGGTAAAAGCCTTCAAGCTCTGCCAAAACCAGAAGATTGGGGGACAAAGGGGAGGGTGATGGAGAGCTTGGCCCAGATAACTCGCCTGTTCATACTCAAGGGTACCCACAAAAACAAAACAAAAAACCCACAGCTTTCTGTTTTTCACCATCAATTGTTTGATTAAACTACCATCTCACCTTGTACAAGCACACTGCCAAATGTACATCGACACCTGGACGTCATACCAGTTGTGCTTGTTGACCATTTAATTGTAAATCCATGAGCATTAATAGAGAGTTAGTCATCCAAATGCTGCTATAACTGCTTCCACTCTTCTATGAAGGCTTTCCAGTAGAAGCTGGATCACGGATACTGGGATTTGCTCCCATTCAGACACAAGAGTATCATTGAGGTCAGACTTTGATGATAGACGACGGGGTCTGGCTGACAGTCGGCATTTCAGTTCATCCCAGAAGTGTGTTATGGGGTTCAGGCTGATGTTTTGTGAAGGCTAGACAAGTTCTTTCATACCAGATTCAACAAACCAGGGGTCTTCAATTGGTCCTGTGCTATTTATATTTTGAATGAAAACATGTGACCCTGGACCACAAAACCAGTCATAAGGGTCAATTTTTTCGAAATTGAGATTTATATATAATATGAAAGCTGAATAAATAAGCTTTCAATTGATGTATGGTTTGTTAGGATAGGACAATATTTGGCCGAGATACAACTATGAAAATCTGGAATCTGAGGGTGCAAAAAATTCAAAATATTGAGAAAATCGCCTTTAAAGTTGTCCAAATGAAGTTCTTAGCAATGCATATTACTAATCAAAAATTAAGTTTTAATATATTTACAGTAGGAAATGTACAAAATATCTTCATGGAGTATGATCTTTACTTAATATCCTAATGATTTTTGGCATAAAAGAAAAATCTATAATTTTGACCCATACAATGGTTTTTTGGCTATTGCTACAAATATACCCCAGTGACTTAAGACTGGTTTTGTGGTCCAGGGTCACCTATTTGTTCAGAAAGGGATAATGTATACAGAGGGCTGTTGTATAAGACTGAGGGCTTTATTTTGCGATAACAACCGGCTGGACGTACATTATCCCACTTATTACATGGCTAATTGCCACAAAACTAAATAAATAGACACAAAATATTGATTTGAGTTGAAATATTTGAACGCAAAGCTTCTGTGAAGAAAGCAGCTGCTAGCAAGTGGCAAGTTCAAAATAGACGGAAATCATGGTGCAGTCATACTACTTATTACACGGCATTTCACCACATGAATAATTATGGCGATAAAATTAAATTATTAACATAAATATTTTATTAGTCAACCAAACACAAAGCTTAGGGCCTTAGCTTAGCTTAGAATAGGGCCGACTGCAGTTACCCAGATGAGCCTGTGTTATTAGTTTTTACCGGTTGTAATCGGGGAATAAAATACCTCGGAATGTGGTGACTGACCAACCAGAATCGAGTATTCCAGAGAACCGTGTAATGAACAAAAATACAATATTACGTTAGCTTCAGCCAAAGATAAATGTAATGAAATTAACTCATTTGTAAGGGAATTAATCATTAATTTTCTTTCGAGCTCAGGTTTTGAAAGGACTCGAATCTGAAAATTCTGAGTCAACCTGATTAAAACTGAATTCAAATCTGATAGTTTACACTTTAAATCAAGGGTCGTCCAGCGAGCCGGTGATTCTTAGTATATTTTAACAACTTCCATCGTTCATTTGTGTGATGTTCGCAAATGCCTTACATAAAGTTAAGAAGCTAAGCTAA